ATATCCCTTTTTTAGTTCTATGAAGTTGGATAGATTAGTTTAATATTACTTTACGTTTCTCATCTATAAAATTTTTAAAATTATATTCTTTCTTTTTGCATTGTCATGAGGAATATTATAATGTGCTGTCTTAGTTGCCAACTATTTTTGTTTTTGTTGTTTTTTTGTGTTTTCAATTAGACTATGACTCCTAAAGACCCTATTGAAAAATGTTCTGAACTCTTCCCATATGCTTTTCCATCCTCATGATCTCTACCTTGCTTAGTCCCATAGTACTGCTAGAACAGATGAATTGCAAGTAGGTGGCTTCATCTTATTTTCTCTCAGTTCCAAGGATTAAAAAGTTCAAATCAAGATCTGGCTAGGCTGATTCCTTCTTTGTAGAACAAAGGAAGTTTAAAAGGTTGTGTGTGTATGTATTTATTTGAGTTTGTAAAAATGATCATTAATGGCTCTGATGGCGTCACTTGGAGCTTTGCTGTCCTGTTTCTGTATCTCCAATCATTTCTAATTTTCTGACTTATACAAATCTTCGTGTGGTTTCTGTCTTCTCCATTTCAATGTGTTCCTCTGTGTCATTGCTGCTCTTCAAGTGGCTTAGAAGTCATTAAACTCAGAGTAGACTACATTGTGTTAAATGATCATATTCTATCCAGTACATTGCATTATATTCAATACTAAGAGAAATAAGATTCCAATTCACATTTTCTGTTTAAGATTGCTCTTAATAATGGTCATATAATAATCTAAAACACACATGTTATGTGGCATTCCTGTCATAGGAAGTTGGTCTTTCATGTTGTCTGTTGTTAAATAATTCAGCCACCAATTTTATTATTAAAACTTTTGTGTCAGAAATATTTTAATAAATTTATAAAATTTATAAAAGTTCCTAAATTTCATAACTATTTAGTGCCCACTATCCTACAATGTGTTCTAATTAAAATTGATATATTGATATTTTTAATTCTTTTTGTACCACCAGAAAGCAGGTAAAAACACAGATTTGAGAAGTTACTTAAAAATATTTTTGGAATAAAAGAATTAATATAAAACATTAAAATACTATATTAATCTGATTAGATAAAAATTACCATGTGAGAGCCAAGATTGTATCTCATAAATCTTGTTGTTGTTGTGAAGTGCCAAAGAGTCATAGACAACCCTTAAGACCTTATAAATGAAAGTTTTGAGCACAAAACTTTGATATTTTTTCTCCAAGTTCATAGAGTTTCAGAGGCAAGTTGTGGTTTGTTGTTTCTTTGTTGTTTTTTGGTTGGATTTTTTTTTTTTGGAGAGGCAAAAGGATGCCACTCCTGCTTCCAAGAATGTCTTATTCAGGAGATTCACAAAAATCAGGCCCTAGGGCCCAAAAGTCTTTTGAAATGCAAGGCCAAATACAATCAGTTCACACCCTGTTGCAAGCAAAGCCACACCCTAGTCTCAAACCCATTCAGAAAACACATCTTTGCAGAATCAGACCTTTCAGGATGTGAGCTGATTGGAATTGGTCTCATATTTAAAGAGGCTTTTTTTGGCTGCCAGTGTGGGCCTATTTGCAGGATTAGAAGATGAGTGGAATGGCTAGATTCTGCCTAAATCTTAGACAGTAATAAAAGGGTGGCATTTCTTAAAGTTTTATTTCTTCTGTCTCACTGACACCCTCATCATCTCTATTGCCTGAGGTTTCAGTGCAGCTTCTCCCTCCTCATTTTCAGTAGCAATGGTTGGAGATACAGAAACGGGTTAGATAGCAAAGCTCCAAGTGAGGCCATCAGAGCCATTACTAATCTATTTTCACACACTCAAACACACACACACACACACACACACACACAGGAGCCCTTTAATTTGTGCTTCTTTCCTAGCCACAAAACTTGTTATCTCTGTTTCTTAATTTGATTACTTCTCTCTTGTCAGTGAGCTCCTTGCCATTGCAAAACCACATACTTATCATTATTCTTTTTGAGAATAAGTTAATGAAAATTGTCTTAAACTGAAGCACATTTTTATACAAAAATGAAATTCTTGACAGGACTGCTAAACACTGAAATTTCTGAACAACAATGGTCTTTGCACTGTCTTTGAACAATAAGACACTCTCATATCTCTAGCACCGACTGTTTTCCATCAAGTCTTGAAAGAGAATGAGACTTCAAACAATTGTTTTTCAAATTCATGCTTCTCAGATATATTTTGAAAGTTCTTTAGAAATGTTAAAATTTTAGATGCTGGCAAATTGTAATTGTCAAAATTTAATGCAATTATTAAGTCAAGTTTTTTCCCCTGAAATTTATGTTGGGGGAAAAAAAATCACAGTTAGTATAACACCTCCTGTTTGATGTGAAAATTACATTTTTCACTGTATTTTTACAATGCATTTTGTTATCATGTTTTCTATCACCTATGTACATTTTATTTCAATGTACTATTCATAAAAGTGGAATTATGGTTCCATTGTAAGTAAAATCCTTGTTGAAATTTTTAATGCAATTGTAGTTATATTTGAGATACTATTCCAAGTAATTATTTTTGCTAACTAATTATGCTAATTGAACTGTGGTGCTGGAGAAGAGGATTGAATGTTCCATGGACTACCAAGAAAACAAACAGATTCATCCTAGAGAGGGTTAAACCAGGCTACTCCTTGGAGGCAAGGATTCTGGGGCTTTGTCTGACATACTTTGGCCATGTTGTAAGGAGAGACAGGTCCTTGGAGAGGGACACCATGCTTGGTAGGGTAGAGGGACAGCGCAGGAGGGGAAGACCCTCTATGATGTGGATTGATTCAGTGATGGGGTAATCGGGATAGGTGTGTCAGAGGCAATGAGATTGACACATGATAGAGCAGGGTTTAGGGCTGTTATACATAGGGTCCCTATGAGTCACAAACAATTTGAGGGCACATAACAACAACAACAACAATTATGCTAAGTAGCTCAGATAGCAGCAGTTTGAAGTCCAATGTGCACCAAATTTAAGCCACGTCTTTTTAATCACTTGCTATACAACTGAATGTTGGACAATTAGTAAGGAAGATGGAAGAGGAATCAATGCTTTTGAGTTAAGAGTTGGAGAGGAGTACTGTCTATCCCATAGAATCCTAAAAGAGTTAATAAATATGTTTTGGAGAAAATGCAGCCTAAACAGTCCTTAGAGGCAAGGATGATTCATCTTACAAACTTGGGTATGTTGTTAAGAGGGATAAGACCTTAGAAAAATACATTAGGTGTGGAAAGGTGGAGTGGAAGTCTCTCAATTAGATCAGCTGACCCAGTGACTGCAGCAATGGGTTTGATTTTATCAGGGATAAGAATGACACAGGTTAGGATAAGGCTCTAATTCATTTTTCATACATTCACCATGAGTCACAGTTCATTCAAATCACCTTAAAAGCACCAACATAATTGTAATAGGGAAGGTAAGGTGGCTGCTGATAAGAAATTGCATTGCAACCTCAAAAGCATGTGGTTCGAATACAGCTGCTGCTCTGTAGGAGATAGACAATCTCCTCCCATGTGATTAATTGCCTCTTAAAACCTGCTTAAAGGTCAGCTATGCATCCATTCCACCTCAATGGTACACAAAAAAAATATCATGTTGGCATAAGCTGTAAAAAGTTGCATTGCAAATCCAAAGATCACACATCTCTGATGGTTCAAATCCAGCACTGGCTTTGTGGAAGAAAGTTGGGCAAATGACTTCATGTGATTTACTACCTCGGAAAAACCATTGGAGGGTCAACTGTGATTTAGTTTCAAAACAATGTCAATGAGTGAATTTTTTAGTATATAAAATGTCATTCACTAGAGTTTTCTAAATACAGAACTAATTAAACATCAGAGCAGTGAGAAAAAACTTGCTGAAAGAAGTATGAATTTAGGTTCACAAGAATGGTCAGAATCTTTATTAAATGAAAAGACTGAAATGTAAATACTTGAGCTTTTTTAAATGAACATGAATTTCTTCAAAACAAATGCACCTAAAATACATCTGATTTTTAAAGTGCTGCTTAATATTTTGCAGCCAGATACAGAAGTGCAAAGTCTAGCACAATATAGCCTTTTGCCTTGAGCAATTAATTTCAACTCATTGCACTTAATTATCTGCCATTCTAAAATATTTCAACATAGAAATGTATATTGATAATTGCAACTAAGATAGGGTATTAATCTCTAACACCAATTAAAGCTATAACGTTTTCTATGTCCTTCAGAGTACCTTTGGTTTATATCGAAAATGTGTTAAATATGTTGTTATTGAACTTAATGGAAATTAAAGGTTGTTATTTTACCCATAAAATTATCAATATCCCCTTTGCAAGTTCTAAAGTATAAAATAGTACATGTTCATAAACTCTGTACAAAGTATATTATTTATAAAGTATTAGTTTCTAAGTATTAAAATATTATTGATAATAACTTTGCTATTTTGTTACAGGAGACAACTGCAAGACAACTGCCTATAACAAGATGAAAAACATGCTTTTAGACTTACAAAATCAGAAATACCTTACACAAGAAAATGAGAACCCGAGTGGTGATGACATATCACGGAAGAAGCTTTTGGTGGATCAAATGTTCAACTATTTTGATGCTGACAGCAATGGACTTGTCGATATCAATGAGCTAACTCAGGTATGGCTAACTGTTAACTAAAATTAATCAAATGTGTTTATTTACCATTTAATTTCTATAAAGGTTAATATCCAAATGATATGCATTGTGTTCTCAAGGACGTGCTACATATACCCTGTTATTAAACACAATCCCTCTCGTTCTCTCTAATTGCCGTTGAGTAGGACTAGCCTCATGGCTGACCCTCCAGAGTTTTTCCCACAGGAGGAGATTGCACATCTTTTTTCTCAGAGCACATGGTGGCTTTAAACCTCTTGCATTTGAGTTGACAGCACACTAGACAATTCTCCATAAATAAGGAAATACAAGTGTGTATCATTGTGTGTGTGTTTACACATACCTGTGTGATAAACACACTTGTTATTTAGAGAGAAAAATCAACAGCAACTGAAAATCTATATGAATTCTGACTTGAAGCTACTATCCATTTGTAGGAGAAAATTGTCTACCTTACTCTGCTGACTGGCTGGACTTCAACAGTCAATCTTTGGATTAGCAGAACTATGCATGACACTCTGCTCCACGATGGCCTAGAATCTAAACTAATTGTGCTCAGTAATACATGCAAGATAAGGGAAATTAAGCCCAAAAATTACCCAGTAATTATGGAGTAGTAGATAGAACAATCCAATCATAGGAAGCAATAATAAACTCAAACTTAGTTCTTGATTGTCTCTATCACACATCTTGAAGAAAATTCTGTTGTTATCTTTACCAGCGAATTTAGGTTTGAGAAATCATTGTTAGGTAAACAAATTCATAACATGATGCCATTCATATTTTATAGATGATTTTATATTTTATTTCAAAAATTTGAGAAAGGTTAAAATAATGGCCAGATTTTGCTAGTTTATCTAAGTTCTGGGATAGCGTAATTTTGAGACTTCATTCTAAATTGACATTTAAGCATATTGTAGATGTTGGCCCTTCTAATTAATGGTATAGAATATTCTATTTTTTTATTAGAGGTTAGAGGATTTTGGTGGCCTAATGATTGAAAAGTTTGCTGCCAACCCACCAGCTGCTCCATGAGAGAAAGAGAGACATTTTTCTTTAATTTAATTTATAGCCTCTGAAAAAAATCAGTGATTGATCAGCAATGAATTGGTTCCAACTCCACAGCAGTGGCATGACTGACTTTCCTTTAAGTCAATATTTACTGAACAGCCACAATGTTTAGTATAAAATTGTTGTTGTTGTTATATGCCATCAAGTAGCCTGTGACTCATAAAACCTGTGACCCTATGTACAACAGCTCTGAAGCC